GATGTCGCTTAGTGCCCTTTCGGCATATGTCACCATCTTGGATTTTTCTCTACTCCGTGCTGACCTCATATACAGTTTTTCCTCATATAAACATATATATTGCATCGTATAACTCTTACACACGTCACATCTACCTCGATTTGGGTATTCCATAAGGTTCCGCAACGAGGTCTGAAACTAACTAAACTTAAGCTCCATAAGGAAAAGCATTGGATTTTGAGCCAGAAACGTTTTTTTTATTAAATAGCGTATTTTGAGACACCCTGTACACATTGAAGAATCGTGCGTTGAAACGATAGACACCCTGTCATGTTTTGTCTTGAATGAGATACTCTGTACACATTGAAGAATAACACGGTAAAACGATAGAGCCCCGTTAAACTACCATGTTTTTTCTTGAATGACTTAATTTGAGACACTCTGTATATTTTGATGGCAGCCATGTTTTTTCTATTACGTTGGCAGCTCTTTTTTTCCTTTAACGCCCATGGCCATGTTTTTTCTTCAATCCAATTTTTCGTTCATCATTACTATTATACCGTTATTTATGTGATTCAGTCACGCCGACGTATTTTGAGACACCCTGTACACATTGATGTCATGTTTTTTTCTTAAACGATGAGACATCCTGTATAGCAGCCACGTTTTTTTCTATGACGTTGGCAAATATTACCCTCCCGCGTGTTTTTTTCATCCCCCACTCCCTCCTTTCCCGTATTTTGAAATGTCATTGCCCCCCCATTGCCCCATTTTCAAACGTTCCTCATTGGGATCGCACATTAAAACGTTAGGTCCCCGGGCATGTTTCTTTCTTGAATGAGACACCCTGTATACATTGAAGAATCAAACGTTAAAACGATAGAGCCCCGTTAAACTGCCATGTTGTTTTTTCTTAAATGCTGTATTTTGACGCAACCTGTATATTCCGCTCAATGCCTGTTACTTTGCCGCTGTGTTTTTTTTCTCAAATGATGTATTTTGAAACACCCTACATTGAGTGATCGAACGTTGAAATATTAGTCACGTTAAACTGTCACATTGTTTTTTCTTAAATTATACATTTTGAAGCACCCCTGTATACTCCACTCAATGCCCATTACATTACCGCCATGTTATTTTTCTTCAACGATGGCAACCATGTTTTTTTCAATACCACACACACCTTATATAATATTGTTTTCATATTATTCTAAGCGCGCTCGAATCGTTCAAACCGCGATAACGCTGCTCGATTCTCGGCCGTACGCGTGCCCTTGAAAGGAACCAAAAATTGAACGATGGACCTTAGCCATTTTCCCATGTAAATCTCCATAAGCCAGCTTTTAGAGCCGGTGCAGCATATATACTAAAACCCTTTAATAGTGAAAATCATACAATAAACTGTATTGATTGGTTTTTTAATATGGATTTTCATCAAGTATCGGCCAGTTCTATTCAATTATACTAATAGTACGGGAGCTAGCAACGTTTGGAAAACAAGAATTTCAGAACAGTTGGTTTTTTGATATGCTGTCATTCTTGCTCTTTCGGTTAGAACCCGGGCTACCTGGCTGGCGATAGTGGTTGCGTTTATTAATGTGCATGTTATCTGCACATCTGCAGGTAAAAATCCTTAACTTTAAAAGAATTTTTTAAAGCGTAATTTTTAATTTTTTGCCTTTAGATAGATCCACCAGACATCAATTTTTTATTGCTAAACGCAACCACTACTGCCAGCCAGGTAGCCCGGACTCTAACCGAAAGAGCAAGAAAGACAGCATATCAAAAAACCAACTGTTCTGAAATTCTATTTCGAAAACGTTGCTATCTCCTATACTATAAAGATATTGTATTGTATTGTATTCATTAGGAATCGTATCCCAGTTACGTTTTATGTGTCAGCAGTGGTGTGGTTCGTAAGACATTCTCGTATTTTGAAACCAATTTTATATTGAATAATTCTTTTACAACTTTTACGTTTCACCCACTGAAAGATCACTTTTCTCATTACTTTGATGAAAATTGTAAATGCAGTTTACAAGTGACAAAACTGGAATGAGTAAAATAATGTCTAGCCTATATTTATATAACAATTTAAACAACGACATATCTATGCGGTATGAAAGAGTATTCATGGTAAAAACGCAAGTTATCATAACAAATATTTCGGGGCAGAAAGCAATTCAGCATAAAAAGTATCGGTAGAAAGCATGTTAGCATAAATACATCCCGGAATAACTGTTGGCTGCAGGGTAGGACTCAGGAACGTAACTTCCTTTTTGATCAACGTGTTCATCTCACTTCATGTCTGATCGAGAAAAATTCGATGATGTCTTTGTTATTGCGTGGTATTGGCACTGTAGACTTGGGCACTCTGGTCTATGAATTTTAATTGTTTTTGTGTTTTTTTGTCGTTAGATCTGAGAGAAGGTGATAAATTTGGTTTTATGTATATTTATACAAAATTTGTTGTTATTAAGCCATAATCTATTGCCTTTGAAAATCAATATAGTATTTCGGCATAATATATGATGTGACCTTGAAAATTAATAATGTAGCAAATATTGTTTATGTATAGAAGGAACAGAATAGAATCCAATACTGTACCTTGAAGCACACCAATAGATGGGATTGAGGGTGAACTTTGGGTTTTACCGATTTTAACTTGTTGGGTTCTACCACTGAGATAGTTTTGAAAAAGTTGTCACGTTCTGACCGCGTTCTATACTTGTATCCTTTCCGACTTATTTCAGTCTTGTTGGAGCATAAATTTGTCCAGGCTTTTGAACGTTGCTGATGCCCGTATATTTTCGACTTGCTGAGAAATTATGCTTTTACATGAGTGACTCTAGGTTAGCAAAAAAAAAATGGTTATTTCTGATTTTTGAATTCCAAAACCCTCTTTGAGCTTGTTGGCTCCGTAAGTCTCAAAGAAATTCCGATTTTTTTTTTCAGAAAAGAATACTCTCAACATTTTCCAGCCATTCATTTCTTGGACGAAGATTTATGTTCGATATTTATTGCAACGGCAAAGTATGTACCAATTTACGCAGCTGTTGCTAAGTTATTCCATAAAACTTCTTTGCTATTAGAGTGATAAATTTCTTTCTATTCTTATTTTTAAAATGTGGCCTCCCCATAGGGGGTAATAATTTTCTCCTAATTCAAGTCGATCTCTGATTGATTATTCAGGGATATTGAAGTTTTTAGCGGCTGCTTTTATAGCCTCAATAGCCTTTATATTTTCAGGATTCCACGATTTTTTTTTTGGCACAGATGCATTCATCTGAAACAAAAATACAATTATCTCATCAAAATAGGTCCATTTGTCTAGGAGATACAATGCCACGTACAGGCAAACATGACTTTTTGTTGGGTGTTGAAAACAAGTTTCTGTAAATAAAACATAACTTCCATAGTTAACAATTTTGCGCCCTCGTCTGATAATACTGCGCCTTTGGCGCGAAATTGTCAAACTTCATAATTTCATTTTATAATCTCAAAATATTATAGAAAAGTAAATTGTATGTTAAAATTATTTTGACATTACTTCTACAGTATATTATCATTCAAAAAGGAATAGGTTCAATGTCTCTACTGTCTCTGTTAATAAGGTTATTGATTGATAGATCATTCATTATTTTTCAATGTTAGATTGAGTATTTATACAGTTAATTACAATGTATCCTTATCACGAACAAGCTATAGATTTCTATGGCTTCTGTGATTATCTTGTTTATTTTCGATAGCACTCTATGTAATGTATATCAGTGTATGCGATAATAAACATATTATTATATTATTATCATTAATGTATTATAATATGAATACAGTATAACTCATCTCTTTTCGAAAGAATACACAAAATTATAAGGATGACGAAAAAACTTCTACAGCGCATGGTCTCTCCGTCGTCGCGCAGGTCAAAGTAGTGCGACTCGGGGAAGGGTGTAGGCATGTCGGACTTCGATGTTTATACACTGTATCGCATAAGTAGTGGATAGTTTTTGAAATATGCTGATGCGCAGAATTATCAGCCGGGCGATATTATCCAACTCTCCCCTATAAAGCCATATTGACGTACTGATGCTCCCTGAAAAAACGTTAACAGTCTACTTTTGATGCAATGTTCAAAGATTTTATCTAAATCAGATATAACAGAGATATGCCAATAGTTTTGGACTACCGTTTTTGAAAATAGGTGTAACTATAGAGTCTTTCCACTGGAATGGAATAGTTCCATGCTGTAAACAAAAATCTAGAATATGAATAAAGGGGGGATATTTTTTATCGTTTTTTTAGTTAGTTCTTCTGGACCAGGAGAGCACTTATCCTATCATAATTTCAGAATCACCTGATATGAACCTAGACACTATATTTTTCAGGTACATTCTTCAAAAGAAATTCAGATGGATGAAAATATACAGGATATTTTTTCATAATTCGTTCGATACCCTACATCTTTTATTTGTTGCATTTATTCCTATTCCAAGAATGAAAATGGAAGAAGATATCGCCCACCAATACATCGTTGAAAAACTCTGTTCTGAAAAAGCTATACATATACTTATGCAGGTCGTTTTTTAGGATAAAGATATCGTTTTTGTATTAAAAATGCCAACCGCTGACTTCGGAAAGTTGAGAAACTTAATCAAATCAAAATATTGGGAAAATTTCCAATATGATATATTTTCAAATGGATGGGTGTCTACTAAACTTGATTATAAAAAATGCAGGTGAATATTGGAAGGAAACATTATGCATTGAAATTGAAAGAGGTATATCTTCTAACATTTTGAAGTTTCCTGAAATAGGTTGAATTAATATTCATGATCTGAAAAATTAAATTTTTTATCCTGATCTCGACAACACTCAAATATTATTTAATATAGCCAACCCTTATATCTCAAATACACCCTTTTGTGGAGTAATAATAGTGTTATCGGCTTTTCACTGATATCGTGATAGACTTTGTTGTGTATCTCGGGCAACGGAAAGATTTATCAATACAGTGACAAAATGTCAACTATGATTGCCGATTGCGATAGACTTGAAGAGAATTCATCGAAAAAACGAGAGCTTTCTAAAAATACCGTCTTGGGCGAATTATGCAAAGATCCAAGGTAAGAAACCGTTCAGTTCAATATAACTATCGAGTGACATTGTATTCCTAATAAATTTTAAGGATGACCAAAGAATTCTTGAAGAAGCATTGCAAAGAGCACAAGTTGTACCAAACACCACACCTAAATGATGTGTTATATCTTCATTTCAAAGGATTCTCTTATATAGAAAATCTGGAAGAATATACAGGTTTGAAATGTTTGTGGCTCGAAAATAATGGCATACGGAGAATCAGCGGTTTGGATAATCAAAAGGAATTGCGTAGTTTATTTCTGCACTATAATTTGATAAAGAAAATTGAGAACTTGGAAAACTGTCCGATACTCGATACATTGAACATATCCTACAATCAAGTGAAAAAAATTGAAAATTTGGGTAAAAACTTTTATTTTCCAAATATATTTTTTTCTTATGTTACTAAATACAGAGGCTATTCGAGTTCAAATCTATGCATGAACATCTCGTAAACGGTGAACGATAAAGGGTAAGTTGAATAATACCAAAAATCCACTCGTTTTATTTGGTTCCGAAGATATGCGAAAAAACTCAAAATTTCAAATCCAATATTTGACTGTATTTTCTTTGTTCGCAGGAATATTAAAAATGTATTTGCACTTTGTCACGGAAACTTATGATTACTCGTAGCTATCAGAATATGTTGATATATTTTTATACAGGGTATCGTCCGACTTGGTCCCCCATTAACTTCTATAGTCATTTCTTAACCGTGTTTTTATAGTATTTGCAAATTAAATTTGTATCGATATTCCTTAGAGTTTAGATAATTTGATGATCATTTGGTATTTTTTTTCTATTACGACCTTGATAAATGCTTGAATTGAAGCAATTTGTACTCACTTTATGTATCTACTTGTGATGCACTGTTTGGAAGCTTTGGTGTTGTAGTAATGAATATTACTGGAGTTTTATGCCAACACTCGACACGTGTTTCGATCACCAAGTGATCATCTTCAAGAGGAAGATTATACTGTCTTCCTCTTAAAGATGATCACTTGGTGATCGAAACACATTTCGAGGTGTTAAAAATAACGATTTAGTGTTGGGATAAAACTCCAGTAAGATTCTCTCTTTATGTACTTCAGCTGATTCTCAAAAAGTTTCCTGCCAATTCGTTCTTGTTTGAACAGATTAATTGAGGAGTAGCTGAATGTATTGATTTCACAAACCTTTAATATTACCAGTAAGGTTTTCCTACCTGGTACAACCACTAGAATTTAAAAAATGTGTGTCTCACCTAATTTTGGCTTTGGTAGTGTTCAATGGATACTGGTAAAAGGCTGGTACCTCTGAACGGCAGATGTATATGAGGCCCTTATGTATTGCAAAAAGTTCTAATGTTAATTACAAACCGGTATTTCTGCTGAGTGATAAGAGATGAAATTCATAAATAAGAAGACATAGACGACAAATGTATACTTATTCAGGGATTTCAAGATGACGTTGGCGACTTTTCTAAGTACTTAAACCTCTGATTGAAGTAGTATAATCTAACGAAAAGCCACGTCATTTTTATTCGAGAAAATAGCGAGATCTGAAAGCTGATCTTATATGTCATAAAATTTTTTGAATAACATATTTTAATAATTTTTACCCTCGAAAAACTCCTTTCTGTAGACGCAACTGTCACAGATGTTGTTTTGGATCGTTAGAAAAACCAGCTTGATGTGGCACATCCAATAAATTAGGAGAAGGGGGCCACGTGCCCCAATGAAATTATAAGGGTGGATAGAAAACTGGATGTTGAGCGAAAGTACCATTTCAAATCAATTTGTTCGCCGTCAAAGTGACAAAAAAAAAGAATTAGTGTAGCCCACCAATACACTAGCAGAAGGGGGCCGTGTGCCAAAACAAAAAAATACAAGTGACTGAAGAACTGACAGTTGAGTGAAAATAGCACTTCAAATCAATTTATTTTCAGTCACTTTCTGAAAAAAAAAATAAGAGGGAGGATTTTCATTTTTCACCCACATCTCTTATGATCTAACCTTTCTCAATTGTCGCATGTTATAAGGTTTTCTTTGGCAAATCCTATCATGGAGGGATCACAGTATGAACATTTGTTTCTCATATTGTCAGATAGTTTTTCGAAATAATAAAACATAAAAGCTTCACAGTTGCTTGTCATGTTGAAGACCATTATTTACTGGCCAGTTCCAACATCTACCAGTATTGTACGAATGTTATGATGATTTTTATAATACTGCAGATACTAGAGGACTGACAATATATAAAAGATTGTTCCTTGTTTTGATAACAAAACAAGGAACAATCTGATATAAATCGCTGTTTGCTTCATTGGTGATATTTAAAATAATATCAACTGAAAAGTTTGTGAGCCAACTTTTTTTGAAAGTTGGTAATTTCATTGGTAATTTCTCAATATGGTAAGTTGTCGAAAGTAGTGATAATATAAAATTTATAATAATTTGGCTTATCTGTGACTTCAGCCAAACACGGCAATAAATAAAATTCAAAAAATTCACGTATACTTATGAGCAGGCCCTTTTCTCAGGTTTCTTCTGGATGAATGTTTTCAACTTTATATGGGCATTTAATTTCAATAACACCTTCCTCCCATCTGGCGAGGTAGCAATATATTGATCTTCTCAATGAACGTACAATCCAAAGGGAAAACACTGAACTCCCTTTAACATCTCATAAGCGAGCAATCCATTTTTTTTTCGTTTTCAGCTTGTCTGGATTTTGATTTTCGGAAACCTTACCAAATGAAGAATCCTACCAAATAAAGAAGCACTAACACTTTTTCTTCTCTCAGCAAACCATTTTTTACAATCACTTCATCCCCTAATATTTGTTTCTAGAGTTTCGAGTAGGTAATTCCATTATTTTTTTATATAATTGAAACATATCCTTCTCCTATAAGTTTTCTATATGGTGGTATCTTCTTTACTGTTGATCAGGGGCCTTTCAGACGTAAATCAAAATTCACAGAAATATGGTTCATCGTCCGCACCAGGTGTAACCTCTTTTTTACATAAATCGTGTACCTGAAGCCGTCACACCTATACCATAGTGCAGTTTCATTTACCCAACTTCCTTGGGAAGACAAACCCTTGTCGAACATTTTTTGTCATTAACCGATTTTTTTTTTATTCCTATCAGTTTAATTCTCAATCGCAAACTTCTCGTTATATTCAATAAGGATGTACTACTACATTTTTGCCGCATCTGGTTGTTTGAAATATTATTTTTCAAACTTCCGAAGCGCATCTTTGTACAGAGGTATCACTTTTCTTTTGTGTTCATTCATTAGTAAGCTTTTGCAGAGAAAAAAGTACGGATATACTTTTTTTATGAAAATCTATTGGGTTGTGATATTTATTGTATATAGAACGGGTTATTTTTATATACCTACTGCGTTAATCACAGCGCTGGTAGATGAAGATTCTATATACACTTTCCAACAAATAATTCTTCCTCACAACAGATTCTGCTGACATGTCTGAAAACGAAGGTATTTGGTTAAGAACTGAGAACTACACATAATTTCTGGCATCCTAACTCCAATAAATTACAGTTGCAAATTTCAAATACAGCTGCCAGGATTTTTTTACTGTATGTACGAATTTCACCGTCTTCATTGAAATGTGCTTTTATATCTTCAGTAATGATTCTCATCATATGAAAGCAACAGATGGAAATTTTTATTTTGATTTCTAGAAACGGTTTGGTTTTCGAAATAACTTCGAGATCAAGATACTTCCACATTATTCAAAGCTATTGAAGTAGAATTAAAAAAACGAAGTTGAAATCTGTACTTGCAGTACTCTTCAAAAAGTGGTAATTTTTTACAATGTTCAATACAAAATAACTTGTTTAAAAGTCATGCCCCGATAGACCTCGCATCATGTTCGCAAGATATAATTCTCACAACCGGACACAATTAGATGAAACTTTCAAGAGGGCGACTGGGCGCCATCTGGGAAAGAAAATTAAATGGAAAAGTGGGTCTTTTGATACATCTTTTTGAATCTCCTGACAAATGCTTCCCAACCCTAGAATATAATGTCAATACCTTCAACTACTACAAAATGGCAGAACTTTTAATAATTGCCTGAATACATTGACATTTAACCACATAATATGAGGTAATAAGCTTGAGGTCAGTTCAGAAGATGCTCGAAATGGTTGTCTTGAACTTCTTGACATATGAACAGCCTATCCGATATTTCACACCGAACATTTTCGAACACTGCAATGTCAATATCTCTACAAATATTTATTACTCTCTGCCGTAAATCCAATATTGAAACAGGTTCAGTTTCGTACACCTTTTGCTTCAAATAACCCCATAAAAAAAGTATAAAGGTGTCAAATCTGGCGAGCGGGCTAGCCATTCTGTAGGATCTCGACGTCCAATCCAACGACCGGGAAAAGTAGTATCCAAATAGTTGCTTACTTGTCTGGAGTGATGTGGTGGTGCTCCATCTTGTTGGAATACAATATCCATATCGAATTCATTAGGATTCGCTTCGACGATTTCAGTGATGGGAGGGTCAACAGTAGTTTCCAGCATATTCAAATACAGTTTCCCTGTTGAATTTTGATCAACAAATAGAGGTCCTACAATATGGTTTTTCAATATTCCTGTCCAAACGTTAATTTTTTCTGGATATTGAGTATGTATTTTCCGGAAAACGTGAGGGTTGGTATAACCTTATCGGGTTGTTGGAATTGCCATATGACAGATAAAAAGGAATGTTTCTAGAAATATCGATATTACTGTGTTTGCCTTCAGGCAATTATTACATGTTCCGCCATTTTGAAGTAGGTGAAGATATTGAATTCATATTCTAGGGTTGTGAAGTATTCGTCAGGAGCTTCAAAATGATGTATCACAAGACACCCTTTCCATTAATGTGGTCGTGATACTCAGACGGTTCACACCGTTCTGAAGAGACCATGTCTGGTACTGATGATGGGGTAAGTACCCCGAAACCGGTCTATCGGTTGGTCGTATGGACAAAATGAAATTAATTTCTGCTTTTCATAGTGTGAAATAACTTGAGATGAATCTTCCCAATCAAAGTCGTTTCACAGGTGCCTGATGGTTTTATGTCAACTCTCTGCGCGGCATTAGCTGGGTTAGTTGTTGGGTATCTGCCACACGTACCTACAAAGTCGTAGGTCTACATGAGAGGCAAGGGGTAAGGTGTTTTCACCTGAACCTGGAGCATGTTATATGCATTTCTTTACAAAAATGATTTGAAGCTTCAATAACTTTTATTTATTATATGCGAGCGCTTTCGATAGCAGGCTGTACTATCATCTTCATGGCTCCACTCAAACTGAACGTTTTATCTTCTTGTTTGTTCTTTTATACGGTTAGAATGTCTTAGTGTAGGTTTTTGTTCTCTCCTGTCTTCTGGATGTCTCATTGTCTCTTTAAATTTGCTTGTATTTGGATTACATCAGGTAATATCCTTTGCGTTGGACTTTCTCTAGT